TGCATTTTTCTGAGTATATATATATATATTATACTTCAAGAAAAAAAGAAAAAGGTGATTGATGGGAACCACTAGTGACAGAGCTTCATCCCTCCACACACCTTTGTTTTCTTAACTGGAACCCTAAAACCATGAGGTTCTCAGGGCTGTTTTGCCGTCTGAGCACAGCCACTCTTCTTTTTTTATCGTAAGGATTCCTTACTCAGGAACTCTCTGACCTAACCTCCTGTTATCCTTCCACTTTTCCTAAATGATCAGAAGAGAAGGGATGATTCTCCCCACATTAAAGGTGAGACAGATATGGCCAAGGCCACATGGTGAATTAGAACCTGGATCTTCTGATAAACTGCCTTTCTCACAGTGGTGCTATTCTTTCCTCCTGGCCAAAGTTTTGAAAATCATGCCTTTCAAATGTGCTCAAGAATTAGATTCTTTAGGTCCACAGATTTCAACAGGGGACGTTTTTTTCCCCAAGGGGACATTTTTGTCCCCATATCAAGAGACATTTTTGAGTTGCTATATTGCGTAGAGGCCAGGGATACTGTTAAATGATGCACAGGACAGCACCCCCATCCCCACCCTGCAACAAAGAATTATCTAGCTCAAAATGTCAATAGTGCTAAGGCTGAGAAACTCTCCTTTCGGCTATTCAGAGTCTGAGAAAGTCACTTTGCCTTGATCTCTGCTTTCAGGCAAATGGTCTGCCCCCAAAATAGTAATACCATTCACTGATGAAATCTTTCAAATGAAAAGATCCTTGGTCTCCTAGAATCACATTGTCAGGAAGCTCTCCTTCCTGTCTAGCTTCAATCTCCCCTATTTCTAGCTGAAGTGTATTTCCTGTTGTTTAGCCATATTTTTTAAAAAATGGAAAGCCGAGGGGCCTAGAGACTGTAACCTTTTATTTTTTGGTCAGGTTACTGCCCTGTTTGAACAGAGATCCAGCTCTCCCGCTCCCTTGATGCTGTGACATCTCTTACCGTCTCTCACTGGCTGTTTCTCTGTGTGTGTGTGTGTCTCTCTCCATCCTCCAGGTCCCCAGGTCCTGACCTGGCCTTCCTGACTTCCTGTCCTGACAAGAACAAAGTCCATTTCAACCCGACCGGCTCGGCCTTCTGCCCCGTCAGCTTGATGAAGCCCCTTTTCCCCAGCATGGGCTTCATCTTCCGAAACTGCCCCTCAAGCCCAGGCTCTCCCCTTCCCCCCGCCAGCCCCAGGCCACCACCTCGGAAGGATCCAGAGGCCTCCAAGACCTCCCCGCTGCCATTCGAGCCATGGCAGCGCACCCCACCATCAGAAGAGCCCGTGCTCTTCCAGAGCTCCCTGGTGGTCTGAGGGTACCACCCCCCTACACTTAACCATGGAGACCAGTGCCTTGGTGGGAGGCCCCTCCCTAGCTCCCCTGCGATGGGAGATAGAGGAGCCCTTCCCTCTCGGCCTTTGAGCACTTTCAGTTATTGTGTCAAAGCCCCAGGTCCTCTTTTTGATGGGCACCAGCCCCTCGGAATGTGAGGGGACCTGCCTTCTCCACTAGCAGCTGGGCAGCTCACAACTCACACCTGTGTACCTGCCGCTTCCCTCACTTGGTGGAAAACTCACCCAGAAGGTCCTGAGTCTCCCACCTCTGGGTATGAATCCAAATGACTGTATAGGAGACACTTGTTTTTGTCGCGGAGCAAGCTGGCCGTGACCAAAGGAGAGGGGATGCCACAGATTTCCTTCCCTCTCCTCCTCCACAGTCACAGAAGAGGAGACCAGAAGATAGATCCCCCATCCTCTCAGCCCCATCCCCATGCCTCCCTCTCATTGGAGGAGCTGACCAAAGCAGCCCTGAAGGGCCATCACACTTGACCAATTCAGCTGCTGGCAGAGGGGGGAACCAAGCATTTTCCCAAGTGGCATTTTCATCTCGCTTTCACCCTGACTAAAGATTGTCTTAAGCAGCAGCCCAGCCTGCCCCGCCCCAGGTGGGTAGTGAGGGGGAGAGCTGGCATTCCTCCAGGTGGCAAATGACAACTCTGCACCCCCCCACCTGCCCCAGGGCAAGGCTGGATTAGAAAAATGCCTATTTTTCTTGTATCGATGTAGAAACTCTATTTTCTCCCAAAGACACTATTTTTGCAGCTGTTTGAAGTTTGTATATTTTCCGTACTGCAGAGCTTACACAAATTGAAGAAGAATGTTGATGTTCAAGTTTTCTTATCTTGTGTTTAGAGGTTGTTTTTTGCAGATCTTGGTGTTAATAGACCAAATAAATAAGTATTCCCAGCAGCGTGAGGTTCTGTTAAATATCTGGGGTAGGAGGGGTGGGGTGGAGATCGAGGGTGTTATATTGATCACTTCATCCTTGTCTTCAGGAGAAGAGCCTTTAGTTAACACATCTGGTTGTTATATGGATGGACACAGAGTTCCTGTCCTCTGGACACCATGCTTGAACACTTTACATGGGCATATAGACAGTAGACTCATGAAAAGGCTGTCCAGAATGAAGAGTGTGGTGTGTCCTGGAGGTAGGATGAGGGAGCCGTTGGGGAAGTTACCCATTCTTGTGAGTCTGAGAAAGCTCCTTGGGGAAAGTGGATTTCATCTTATTTATTTATTTTTGAGACAGGGTCTTACTCTTACCCAGGCTGGAGTGCAGTGGTCCCATCATAGCTCAATGCAACCTCAAACTCCTGTCCCAGCTCAAGTGATCCTCTTGCCTCAACCTCCTGAGTAGCTGGGACTACAGGCATGCACCATGACGCCACACTAATTTTTAAATTTTTTGTAGAGACAGTCTCGCTATATTGCCCAGGCCTGTCTTGAACCCCTGGGCTCAAAGGAGCCTCTAGCTTGGCCTCCCAAAGTGCTGGGATTACAGGCGTGATCTACCATGCCTGGCCCAGAGTGGATTTCAGAGAGAAAAACAGGGTGACTAAAGGGAGACAATTTGACATGGTGGGTGTTCCTTGCTCTGGCAAGGAGAACAAGATCAGGGAATAACATTCAGATTGAACCTCTTCGCACAGTTTTAGGGAAGCTTCGGCTCCTTTTGGGTAATCTTCCCATCTCAGAGAGTACCCACAACAGAGGGTGCAGCCTTGGAGGGTACAAAGAAACTGTCCTTGGCCTTTTGCAGCCTCTCAGCTTTATAGTGCTATACCTGTAAGAGCTTTGGGGAAAATGGGAAAAACCATCCCAACATTCTATTCTGATGGTGCTTTGGAATTTCCAAAGCATTTTCACAAAAGACACATTATCCCCATTGTATGGGTGAGAAGTTGGCTACCCCAAGGACAATAATAAGTACAACTGTATCTAGCTCGTAAGACCTCACCACAAACACCGAAACCAGGCTATCCTAACCACCATTCATTGGTTTGGTAAGCACCACAGATAGTGCATTAAGTGCTTTACATAAAATGTCATTGAAATATGACAGCCACCCAATGAGAGAAATGTGGTAAGTCCCACTGTATAATGAGGGAAGGACAAAAAGGTTCAATAACTTTCCCCAAAAGACACAAAGTGGGGGAGCCAGGATTGGAAACCCGACCATTTGAATCCTTTAATTTCACAGGAGGAAATCCGACTCAGGGGACAAGGGAATTGTTTGAGGTCCCAGCTGGTGAAGAGCCAGAGCTGGGACTGGAACCCAGGCCTCTCACCCCAACTGCTGTTTGGTGCCCTGGCATCATGGGCTGATTCAGTACAGTAAGCCACTGGGCAAGAGAGCAAATGTGTGGGGATCCCCTTCCCCACGAATATAAAGGAGACAGTGGGCTGGGGACAGACCCTATCTTCTATCCCTCACCCCTCCCCCTGAAAGATGTCTGGCTTGCCCCCAAAGCCTTAGTGAGTCAGGCCCGGAGTGATGGGTGTGGTGCTGCCCAGAGTTTCCTTCCTTTGCCTGAGGCTGTGCCAAAGCAGCGGGCTACTCTAAGAGAAAGAGCCTCTACCAAGGTAGCAGCCCAGAGTCCACCAGGCGGCCTGACATTTGGGCCAATTATTAAGTGGGGGGCTGAGGGGTCAGTCTTGCAGTGGCAATTCGTACTAGCAGGTGGAGACCCAACACTCGGATGAGTCCAGCGAGGAGCTCACTAACGAGAATGATTCCAGAGAGCAGCCGAAGGCTTGCTCCATTGTCCGTGAGTTGTAAGACCTTGAAGAAAATGCGCTTCAATAAATTTCCATTTCCACCTCCAGGATGTGAGGAAATAAGATCAGAGTTGAGAAAGAGTAATGACTAATAATATAATTCCTTAAACTTGCACAGCACACTTTGCAGTTTATAAAACACCTTCACAAACCTCAGCTCATTTGCTCCTCAAAACAGTCAAGAGGCGACAAAGTGGCTATTACTAATTATCCCTACTTTACAGACTGTGAAAACTGTGGCTCAGAACGTAGGTGACACGGGAAGGTTACCCTACTACCTTTAAGTGACCTAAGCAGAGGCTTACTGTGCTGCTCACCTCCTTGAAAGCCTAGTGATGTGCCCACGGACGACTGCTGTCAAAGCCAGGCCTCCAACGCTCTTCTCGTAGAGCAGGTAGAGTCGCTGACGCCGGACAGCCTCTAGAGGGCGCCGAGGCTACAGCAGGAGTTCTCGGCGTTAGGACCCAGCAGAAGCCTGGCCGCCTGCCGGGAAGAAGACTATTTAATTTGCTTTGCCTGTCGCACCGCCTCCTTCCCCGCCCACCTGCCTGTCTTCGCACAGCGCAGCCAATTGGCGACCTCCACATTCTTATACGTCATCACTTTACGCCCGGGCATCTCCTAGGCCACACATCGAGCTCCGGGTCGCAGTTGCCCTCAGAGTTGCCTGACTGGAAAATCTCGATGGCAAGAAATTACCCTTAAGACAGCTGGCTCCTCTGACCCCCAGGGATGGAACCAAGGTCCCAACGTGGGTTTTCTTTCCTAGAAGGGTTGCTGGGTTCTGAGGAGTTTCCCCCTTGGCAGCCCTGAGCTGGCAGTTGTGGCAGTGAACTGCTGGGCTTTGCTGAGCGGCGGTCGCATGCAGCTCCTATGAGGCCCCTGCCGCCGGTCGGCGATGTCCGGCTGGAGCTGTCTTCTCCGCCGCCGCCGCTGCCGCTGCCGGCTGTGAGCGGGTCTCCAGTCACCTCGTCCGGTCGTCTCATGGCCTCTAGCAGCTCCCTGGTGCCCGACCGGCTGCGCCTGCCACTCTGCTTCCTGGGAGTCTTTGTCTGCTATTTCTACTATGGGATACTGCAGGAAAAGATGTGAGCAACCCCCATGGCGGGAATGCACTCCCCCACCCCGCCCCCCAATCCAGTCCTCTATCCCCATCCTGTGGCACATTTCTTGGGCCTTCTGCTCCTGGACCTGGGCTTCCCTTTTGTTCTCCCGCCTGGCTCTCTTGCCTTTCCAGCAACCTGCTACCTCTGCCCAGAATTCCAAAACGCCAGAGTTGATCTCTGGATTCTCGGGATCTGGTTATTTTACTTCCTTAGCTGGTTTGTTTTGGTTTGGTTTTCCCCTGTTGGTTGTAAGGGCCGAATGTTACAGGCTGAGACTTTTACCACCAAATAGTCCTAAGCTGGTTCCTCTTTGGAAGTTCCAGATGCTTGCAGACAGCCTGTTCTTTCGCCCTCAGCCTCGCTGCTGTAACCCAAATACCTTCTTCTCCTGCCTGGGATATCTCATTTCACCAACTACTTTTTCATGTTTCCTCTAGCTCCATCCTTTATGGATATTCTCTCCCTAGGCTGTGGGATTAGTAGGCTAGAATGTCTAGTTTCTAGATCCAATAAAATCAGCCCCTCTTTTAGATGAGCCTAACGGTCCTTACAAACTCACCCTACATCCAAAGAGGCAAGATAATTTCCAAGCTTTCAGTGATTGTGGATATACTAGATGACAGTAAGTGAAATATACTAATTTCTTTTCTCTCTTTCTCATGCATTTCATTCTTAGAACAAGAGGAAAGTATGGAGAGGGAGCCAAGCAGGAGACGTTCACCTTTGCCTTAACTTTGGTCTTCATCCAATGTGTGATCAATGCTGTGTTTGCCAAGATCTGTGAGTACCTAGATAATGATTTATTGTATATACAACCCCTTCTGTATCCTGGGTGTTAGTCATTGACTAAAGCTTAAGTTCTAACTTACAGTTTCCACCACCTTTAGTACTCACACAGCCTCTCTGTGCAGTCTATAAAACTAATGATTTTGAAATGGGGTAAAATAATATTTCTTTAAATTATACCAACTTCTGAATCAGAAATATGCAGAGAATGGGTCTTTGTGTTCCAAATCCCCACTGAGAATACTTAAAACGTTTTTTTCTTTCCCTTTGACGTTCCTTTATGTGTCAGCTTCAAGCATGCTTTGAGCTTTCTCTCTTTGTTCCCTGAGCACTAGCAGCAGGGTTAACTTGTCCCTTGAACTGATTGAGGCCCCCACCTCCACCCTGCATGTGGTCTTGTGTTAGGCTTAGGTACAATTGGACAGCTGAATAATTTTCAGAGATTTCCCATTCTAAGAAGACAGAAATAGCTTGTGTCTTATTCGATAGGCAAGTTCCTTTCATGTGGGTTCATCTTCGCTTAGTGGTCCATCTTAGCCCCACCAGGTTTCTCTTGTATGTTTTTTTGTCTTCTCCCAGTGATCCAGTTTTTTGACACTGCCAGGGTGGATCGTACTCGGAGCTGGCTCTATGCTGCCTGTTCTATCTCCTATGTGGGTGCCATGGTCTCCAGCAACTCAGCACTACAGTTTGTCAACTACCCAACTCAGGTGAAACCTCAGGGTGGGATGAGGGTTGGCTCAGAAATTATTGAGAAGGACTAAGGGTTTTTTCCTCAGGTCTATGACTCCTAGGAGAGTGTGTCTGAGAAATTCAGAGTGTTTAGAACTATAGAGCTTAGGGTTAGTGGTTGTGTGTTGGGCCATGATAGGGCTGCTTTCTGAGGCTGAGGTCCCTGGTGCAGACCCTACTCAGTCAACACAGTACTTAGCACTGTACCTGGCACGTCACAGATGCTCAGAAATATTTGCCAAATTTAATTTCAGGTCCTTGGTAAATCCTGCAAGCCAATCCCAGGTAAGCAAAGAAGATGGTCTTCCTCTTCTGTCCTCACTTTTCCTGTGGTAAGCACTCTCTTCTGCTAGAGCTTTATGTCCCAGGGCTTCGTCATCCCATCATAGCTCTCTCCAGGGACTTTTATTCCAGCCCTTGCCCCTGTCTGTCCTCTGATCTTTGTCACTTCCTGTGGTGTGCATAGGCTTATAATCCTTAATGGAAGTTAGAAGCTGACCTAGTCTGTGTCACATGGTCAGTCATTTCAGCGTCCCATGTGTTTACAGTGTCGTTAGACACCCTAAGTCCCATTTTGATCATCCATTTCTTTCTCTCAGCCTCTTATCCTTCCCCCTGTTCCCCACCCTTACCCTGTTCCTTCCTGGACCTTTTACCTTTGTTCTCTACCTTTTCCCTGTCTTACACTCTGTGCAATTCTATTGCCCAATCATTTTTATCTAGTTACCAGCGTGGCACCCTCCTCTTGTCCTCTATAGGCCTTCCTTCTCAGACATTCTTTCTTCCTAAGTCTTTCCTTGGCTCCTGGGAGAAGGGTATTGGGGTCATCAATGCCTGTGGGTGCCTGAATTTTCTACTCTGTTTTTTCCCTCTAGTCATGCTCCTTGGGGTGACCCTCTTGAGGAAGAAATACCCACTGGCCAAGTACTTGTGTGTGTTGCTAATTGTGGCTGGAGTGGCCCTTTTCATGTACAAACCCAAGAAAGTAGTTGGGATGGAAGAACACACAGTCGGCTATGGAGAGCTGCTCCTGGTATGTGATCCTGTTGGGGAAGGCAGCCTTTTCCAACAAACTTAGCCAAAGGACAATCTGCCTAGGCAGGCAGAAGGCTAGTTATATGTCTCAAAGGAGGCCGTGGTGCTCCTTGCCCCCCATTTCTGGTCTTTGCTGCAGGGTTCCTGGCTCTGCTGAGGCCATAGTGAGAAACCCAAAATATTTTAACTACAGCTCAGCTCTCCTTTTGGGGATGAAATAACTCTGAGGCCTGTGTCTAAATCCTGATGTGAGGTCACAGAGACCTGAGAGCCAAGAGGGAAGAGTAATGTGTCTATCACTGTGGCTTCCCAAGAAATCCGGAAGCCAGAGTTAAAAATAATACAGGAGTAGCTATTGTTTATGTCTTAGGCGCTGTTCTAAGTGTTTTACATATTATTTGACTAATTTGTACAACCATAATCCCCTAACATGGGTAGTATTATCTCCATTTCACAGCTGAAGAACTTGAGGCACAGAGAGGTTAAGTGACTAGCCCATGGTCACATGGCTATTTAAGTGGCAGTCAGGATTCCAATCCAGACAGTCTGACCACAGAATCCAGTTTCTGGAGTACTGTACTCCAAGCTAGGAAGCTAACCTTCTGGGACTAGCTTTCCCCTCGCCAGCTTTAATGGCAGAATGTGTATGGCTCACCATAGCCTGTTGTGCACATCAGCTTCAAGGCCTTATGTTGGGAAGTGGTAGGCTTTCTGCTCTACTCTGATTACAGAATCAGTATGTGGCTCAGTTAGCCTGTCAGTCCAGTGCCTGGGGGGACGAGGGAGCTAGCATGGTCTCTTCCCACCCTCTATCAGTGACCAAATGATTCTATCTTAAGGCAACAGCTTTCTGAGGAGCCTGAGAGTGAGACTCCCTGTGTAGGGGAGGAAGGGTTAGGGTTAGGGTTAGGAAGGGGCCCTGTTGGTTGTCACCTCACAGCAGGCCACTCCCATTCTTTCCCAGCTGTTGTCTCTGACCCTGGATGGACTAACAGGTGTTTCCCAGGACCACATGCGGGCTCATTACCAAACAGGCTCCAACCACATGATGTTGAACGTCAACCTTTGGTCAACATTGCTGCTGGGAGCCGGTAAGGAGCAGTTCTGCCGTTCTTTCCATGTGTCACCAGAGGGCAAACTGCCCTCATTTAGTTGATCCCTGTAGCAGCCAGTTGTCCTTCTGTCCAAGCCCCTGCGAAACCTTCCTGGAAAAACTTGCACCGGCAGGATGTGCTTGCTACTTGTTACTGACACGGTGAGGGGTTAGATGTGTGTCAGGTATTGTGGGAAGATGCACAGTTGTAAAACACACGGGGGTACCTGGGAACTTTCCCTCTCACGAGGGAAATGAGACACAGGCATAGTGCTTACTCAAAGGAAAGAGACTTCATACACTGAATATAGCTCAAACATATTAAATGCGTTTATTTTGAAATCAGCACTTCATAACTTTTCAAATCTAAGCACAGGTAGAAAGTGTTTTTTGTACAGCACACTGGGGTTAATGGAGGAGCTGCTACTGCCTGGAGGTGACCTTGAGCTGGGGATGTATGGGCCAGCACCTTCACTACCTCTGAGGATCTCTGCTTTCAGTCCCTTTGGTAGAAATAACTTGTTAACTTTCAAGCCTTTCTCCCAAAATTGAATCTTTAGTTAGTTTCTCTACTCAGAGAAAAATGAGAAGGCTGCACGATGAGACAATACTAACCCACTCTGTATATTTTCCCACGCTTCACCCTCCTTCACAGTACGGTAACAGGCCATGTGCAGGAGTGTTTCGGGGGTGGTATGGGCACACAAGATGTGCCATTCGTCTTTTAACATTTCTTCCCAGGGATCCTGTTCACTGGGGAGTTCTGGGAGTTCTTGAGCTTTGCTGAGAGGTACCCTTCCATCAGCTATAACATCCTGCTCTTCGGCCTGACTAGTGCCCTGGGTCAGGTGAGTGCTTGAGAGGGAATAGTTTGGCTTCCCCACTGTGGCAGCTGGTTGCCTAAGAAACACTGGTCTGGCTGGAAGAAAGGGGGGTGGCAAGATTAACCCTGGTGTCCGTTACAGACTTTAGACCTCACGGCAGATATCTGAGAACCAGCCTAACTCCACCTTTCTCTGTCTCTCTCTAGAGCTTCATCTTCATGACGGTCGTGTATTTTGGTCCCCTGACCTGCTCCATCATCACCACAACTCGAAAGTTCTTCACCATCTTGGCCTCTGTGATCCTCTTCGCCAACCCCATCAGCTCCATGCAGTGGGTGGGCACGGTGCTTGTGTTTCTGGGTAAGTTCCATTCAGAGCAGGTGTGTCTCTGGGCCACACAGAGGGACAGAGAGCGCTTGGTTTAGTTATTTTAGAGAACACGTATGAAAGAGAAAAGGAAGCATTATTTCTAATCCAGCCTTCCTAACACACATTTCATCTTAGTGATTCCCTTCCAATGACCTGCATTTCCGCAGACCTTGAGCAGGACAGAATTATTATGCTTATTCCCTATCAGCTTATGCTGCTAGAGATGAATTGTGTGTGTGTGTAATAAGCAGTATCTTAGTGATTTTTTTAAATTTGATCCCATTCTCTTATCTCTGAGGACATTATATAAAACCAATGTTCTGAAGTTTATTTTATTTAAAGCCTCAGTTTTGGAGAACCAAGCCTGACTACCCCTGTAACCCCCGTCATTGGTAGGTTGCATTTCCCCCCATAAAGCTAAGCCCATTTTCTCCCTTGTCATAGGTCTTGGTCTTGACGCCAAGTTTGGGAAAGGAACCAAGAAGACATCCCACTAGGAAGAGAGAGACTACCTCCACGTCGAGAATATTTAAGTTATTATCTCAAACAGTGACATCTCTTGGGAAAAGGGACTTCTTAGGAGTAAGGATCTGAGTTCCAATCTTTTTTAAAAAACAAAAACAAAACAAAAAAAAAAAAAGAAAAAGGAAGCAAAATCACATATTCTTAAAAAAAAAAAAAAAGCACCACTTGGATTTTAACAAAACAGAGTTGGCGGTTTTTGTTCTCGATGCCCTGGAGCACAGTCTGTGGCAAATAAAGAGAGAAGAAAGAGGCAGAGCTTGATGCTCAGCACCCAAGCTGCTTCCCTCTCAGGTGTGGTTAACTTGGTTGGTGGGTAATTCCCCCAAGAGCTTGTGCGTTATAGGGAGGAACTTTAAGAGGTCATATATTGTGCCAGCAGCCTCCGTTCCAGTGGGTGAGGCTCTACATATGCTAAGGCAGGTGGCTGTCGGTCAGAGCCAGAGAATGTAAAAATCACTTTATTTCTTAAAGCTCTGGTGGGAAAATATTTCATAAAAAACTGAAGATATGTTCTGTCCTTAAATGTTACTTCAAGTTGGGGTAAAAAGCCAGAGCCTCTGAGTCTGCTTTGTTTTCCCTTTTCCCCACTGCCTCTTCTTTAGCCAAGGTTTGACCAAGACCAGAGTGGAGACCCAGTGCATATAACATGAGCAGCTTTGGAAGGTCCGTGCATGTACTTTTCCTGATCCTCTCCCTCCATCTCCCTGTCTGTTCTCAGTCTACCTGGTCCCTTCTTCCTTGGAAGGCTGGATTAATCCCTCCTATTCTCCTGCCTCCTTCAGCTGCTAAAGTGTTGCAGTCCTCTGCCATCCGGCTGTGCCAACGTGTCACCATGCCAGCTTCTGCTTGTTGAAAGGGATGTTGGCGGAAGGCACGGTGGCTGAATCCTGGCACCGCCGCTGTCAAGTTTTCTGGGTGGCAACAAGGGGAAAAGGCGGAGCATGGAGCAGAGCCACCTGCCCATTGCTGCCTTCAGAGTTGGAAATCACAATCCTCCAAGGACCAAACTTTACACATGAAAGTGCATTTCCACCAGCTGCAACTTTCCCTCCATCTGTTCAGCAGCCCCAGCCCCTTGGCTCTCCAGATGGGAGCCCGGCCTCCTTCCTGAACGGCTGCCTTGCCACCCGCCCGCCCAGCCTTTCAAGCCCTGCCTCACTTGCACTCATCTCACTCTCTAGGGGCCCGGTGTCACCACAGCCCTGCCCCCAAAGCCCCCTCTCATTTTGAACTCCTCCTTGGGAGGCTTTAAGTACATCTGGCCAAATTTCCTTCCTTTCTCCATCCCCTCTCCTTCCCTTCTCTTTTCATCTTGAAAGTTACATCAGTTAGCTTCTTCCCCACTAGATTTACAGTTCTTCCCAACTGTCTTCTGTGGATTGGTTAGGTGGTGAGAGCATGTTCCCTGGGCCAGGGACCTATAAGCAATCATCATCTGGGCCTGTTGTTTTAAGAAGAGACGTCTTCCCAGCTATCAGACCAATTCCCTCTACCTTTTCCCCTTGCCATTCCCAACTGGCTGTCTCAAAAATGCCTACTACTAGCCATCATGACCTAGTCAGAGTTTTCCACAGCTCAGCATGGCTCTCACCTGATACTAGAGAAACGGCTTGTAGAGCTAAGCCTATCCTACCAGTAGTGGGCTGGGAGCCCAGTTCTGGTGTATGTGTTCAGTTCCTGGTCCATTCGTCTAACATTTATTTCCTTCTGGGTGCCACACTGCAAATGCTGGAAGTTTAAAGTTAAATAGGACTCACTTTTATCCTCTAGGGGGTTAACAGTCTAGTAGGGAGATGTGAAAACAAATCATTGCATCTCAGAAATGCAGGAATCACAACGAAGGAAGGTGTCCAGGCAAGGTGAGGCTTGACCTGGAGAGTGTAGGAAGATGAAAGGAGGAGGAGGAGATGAAGCGTTGGCTCCACTGCCAAGCAGGAACAGGGGTTTTAAACTGCCTGACTGTTCTCCCTCTCACCCCGTGCTCCTGCTCGGTCAGTTCAATGGAGAACACATGACAGGAGAGCGGCTTTTATGTGTGGTGTTTTGTTCGACTCGAAGATACTGGAAAATGTTTTGTAAGCTGCCAGCATGTTCAGGGTGGCATGTGTACCTGCAGGATCAGGATCACAGGGACTGAGAGTGCCAAATTTGACTAAAGTTAGTAACACTGTTAGCTTATAATAGGGCTGATAAATGTGAAATACCAGACAAGTTCAAACAAAAGTGGTGTTGAGCACTAACCCTGGGCGGCCTGATGCCTCAGGTTTCTAAAGATCAAAGGACTTTCATCTGCTGTTAATTCTCAGCTATGTGTAGGAAGGAGGGAACCAGCACGCAAATTTCCCCAGACACTGTGTTTTTAGTTTGGGGTATATTGCACTTACGTCTACTTTGGTCAAAGCATCAGGTCCGCCTAGTCTGCTGTTTGTGCTCAGGCTCGTGGTAAAACGATTTTTCATTTCCTGTGCACCTCTTCATCTGCGGCAAGGGGAGTGACCTGCAAATGTTATTTGGGGTACAGTCACAGGGAAAGTTATTCTGGAGTTAAACATTGTTTTTAAAAGGACTTAAAGTGGCAGGAATTAAACGTTAGCTGGATAATCTACCAAGTGAGGTATTTAGGAACAGATGATGTGTTTTCTCAGTCCTGCAACACCCTTGTGAAAAGAGGACTGAGCAAATATCTGTATTTTTTAGAGATGGAAAGACCTAAGTGAGGGAAGGTTAGGTGACCTGCAGTAGGTCGCTAGGTATGTTTCTGAGACATGAACTAGAACTCAAGGTTCCCTGAGTTCTAGTTGTGTCTTGGACCTGTACCCTCTGAAGGAGAAAAGTGAAGCTCCTCAGGAGGCCCATTGCTTCTGCCATCTGGCCCTGCTTGTCAGTAGAACAGTTTGCACGTTTTATGAGTAGTGCTGGTCATTTTCCCCAGATGCCCTGGCAAAGAAATTGTTCCAGGTCTCTGTGGGATCATTCATCCCTTCCCACCAAAAACACGCCAGCTGTCTTTCGGAACAGTAATCTCATATATTTATAGAGCTCCTTCTTCCCTGGAGCTCTTTAGTACATGGCATTTTATCCTTAGAACGCTCCTGGGAGGAGGTTAGGCTAGAAACCAGTCTCCCCATGTTTGGAATATGGAGCCTGAAACCCACCAAAGTGTATCAGCTGAAGGTCACACAACTCTTGAGAGGGTGGGAGCCAGAGGTGGGCCTCCCATTTCACTTCCGACCATCAGAAGTCAGAGAGCTCTAACCCTCAGTGAGCTAAGCCAATGGTTCCCAGCTGTTTGGATTTTCTGGAAATTCCCAGTAGAATTGCCAAATAATTTAGGAGACAGACATGGGTATGCTGACTTAATTATTTCAAGTAAGGACATTGTTTAAAAATCTGTTAAATAATATCACCATTATGGTTTTAGAAAAGGACATTTCAACGCAAAAAATTTTAGGAAAAGCTATCCACTTCAGAATAAAGAACCCTTCCAAGGAAATTATAATTGGAAATCATATACTATATTAATAAGATCAATTAATTTTTTAATGGCAGAAAATGGTCAACGTAAAATGTTATTCTATAATACATTATAGGATATACCATTGTGATTGTTTGGCTGATACAGCTTGGTCAGTTTGGGCCTATATTCCACAACGCAGTCCAGTGCAGCTGGAATGTCACATGAGCATGCTGAGAAAGATGGAAGCAAACCACAGTGAGATTTTCTATAATTTAGAATATTCTGAGAAAGCCCAAAACAACATCTCCCTGGCCTCAGCCTCTTCTGCCTTCCCTGTATGAGGCTTGGAGGACAGCAGGCTATCGAGGCTCAGAGGGCTTGCCAGAAATGGCTGCAAGAAGGAGACTCTGGGCATGCTGCTGAGACTTGCCCCTACCACGTTCAGACCATGGTTTTGGTCACCCAGCCCAGAGCATCCAGAATATATTCCGGAGGGTTGTCACCAACTGGTGAAAGTCAGTTTCTGCCAGGCATGGCACTTAGAGGGGGAGCTATGGGCTGTACCTGCCATTGGCAGGAAAGGTGGGAAGGGGAACGGAGGGGCTGGGACAAAGACTGGCTTCATTCAGTGCCTTCCACTCAGCTGAGGCCCAAGTCCACAAGGGCTGCTGGTGGGTTTTTTTGTCTGAATAGGCCTGACCCCCTGTGATTTCTGGGAGAGGTGGAAGAGGGAAGTGGTTCAAGGCATTTACCAAGGGGTGGGATGGTATGTTTCTTCCTGCCCACTTAGGTGTTTTGTCATGGTGTGTGGGTGGTGAGAGCTAACAACAGAAGCACCATGTTTCAGCTTAGGTTCTGACCAGACGCCATTTCCTCCTACTCAGGATCCTAGAACTGCCATGTTCAGACTACAGCCCTGCAGGGAATGCGTAACTGTTACATGAAGGCTGGGGACTCCCTGAAATTTTATGTGAAAGTGTGTGCGTGTATGTGTGTGCGTGCATGCATGTGAGAGAGAGACACGAAGCTGGTAGGTTTGTTTTTCCGTAAAAAGGGTCCACAACTCTTCAGATTCTCAAAGAGATCCATACACAGGATCCACCACAATCATGGGACTCATTTAATTAAAAGTGATTTCCCAAATAGAGTTGTAGAACTTGGAACCACTAGGAAATATGAGAAAGCATCATGTCCAGCTCTGCTTAGGTGGGGGGATGAGGTTGAGGTTGCAGAGATACCCAAGGAGAGTAACCTGTCCAATTTCATTTCTGGTTTTCTCCTAGCCCCTCCACACACTATCTAGGGTTATCAGATTTAACAAATAAAAATACAGGATGCCTGTCTGAATTTGAATTTCAGATAAATAATGTAATTTTTTGGTGTAAGTATGACCCTGGATTCAAATTTAGCCTGCCTTCTGTATTTTATCTGGAAACATGTGGCATTAGACGTTATCACACATGTTCTCATGGCCCTTCTCTTCTAGGAAAAGGAAGCACTCTCAGATACATCACTTGCATTTCTGAGCAGAAGGCTTCCAGGGTTTTTTTTTTCAGGGTCAAAAATTGTATAATTTCCCTGATGGCCCAGGGAAGGTGCAAGCCCAGACTTAGTCAGCAGGGGGCATCATTCTCTTAAAATAGATTCCC